GGTGAATGTCTTGACTGATTTCAATGATTAACATTTCAAGCTAAAGCTAAGCAGAGCTAATCATTTCATTGGTCGATGCTTTGGGACAAGATAATCTTGATTCTATCTGATAGAGAGTGATGAAACTTAGTGTGTGGTTTAATTGCTCGAAACTTTTGAAAAAAATAAATGTGCGATTAATTAATATGTGTCATCTATTTATTTTGGGATTTCGGCGGGGGACATCAGCCTCACTGTTGGCTTGTTTTCAATTATTTTATTCGTAATCACTTGTCAATATATAAAAATAACAAAGTATATAAGCACATATCAATAATAACAAATTAGTTTCCGTGTATAGTCGGAAATATGCCGTACGTGCGAAAGGTCACATAGTTTATTTATGTGGATTGAATGAAGATAAGGGTGGGCCTTCCAGGCTTATTCTCATCAAGCGATCTAACGTTTCCACATTTAGACGGCATCTAAGCTTAGTTTTGATTAGGTTCTATTTGGAAAAACATCTCTCGCACTCTACGCTGCTAACTGGTAGTGTCCTCCCTATTCCAGGAGTTTTACTACATTAGGAAATTGTTCTCCTAAAGAATTGTTATGACAACTTACAAGTAATTCAGTATAATTTAGCCCCTTATAATTAAAAATAATCATTTGCCGCATAATGGGCCATTCCGATAAAATTGCATAGGTGTCGTATGGACAATTTTCAGCTTTAGAAAAATGTCCATTTAGAATATCTAATTGCCGAAAGCCGTAATTAGAATCAGTCGTAACATTTTTTCGATCAAATATAGCGAACAGAGAGTATTTTGTTGTCGGGGAACCAAGCAGTTACATTGTCCACCACCCTAGTCACTGTCTTGCGTACCCTGTCTAAAAGCGTATCGTCTTTATGTGTCCTTGTCATTGTCTTGCCCAAATACTCGTCTGTCCCTTTGGTAATTTGCAAAAATGTCACCAATTTAGGTCCGTAGGAGAGTTCGTCGTCCAGGTATGTCTTGGTCTTTGCTGCTAAAAACCCGTCTACTGTCTGTCTCATACCCTCGTACCTCAAGTCGCGTACTTGTAATGCTCTGCTTAGTGCCCCGATACACCCAAACAAATCTTGCAAAAATGCTGTATAGAAAAGAAATTTATATGTTTTTAAACGCGAATATAAGGCATCGGCCATTATATCTGTTTCTGAATTATCTTCCAACATTTTCAACAATGCTGGCAATGTTTTTACAAGTGATTCTATAGCGTTTGTCATAGATAGCCATCGGACTTTATGAACTTCCGATGGCTTTACAATCGGTTCATCAAGCAGTTCCTGCCAATATTTTTTAATTTCGAAAGTTGTTTAGGTGACCTGCAAAAAAAGGACGTGACGGTATTCAGCGTACTTTCATAGAAGACTATGTCTGCATCGGCCTTCGATACATCAACAATAGCAAGGGCTAGACGGTGGGAAACACAATGAAATAAGTGGGACATATTCCTTTAGTAAGGCTGCTACACCTCCCCGTTTTCCCAGCATCACTGCAGCCCCATCTGACCCCATGCCAAATATCTTTTTGACATCTATCTTGTTGGTTCGTAAGAATGCAATAATAACATTAGTAATTTCCAACTCATTACATTTTTTGACCTCTATCAATTTTACAAATTTAGTCAGCAAGTATACACCCTTCAAATAATTAAAATACAAAATTAAATATTTCGCGGAAGACAGATCTGTGCTTTCATCAAGCATAAAACTTGCAGCAGGGCTAGCTCGGATATCTGTGAGGATTCCTTCCTCAATTTCACTGGATATTAAGGAAATAAATTCACCACAAGAATTAAAATCGCGATATAATTTTTTTGTCATTTCGTGTCCCTGCTGTTCTGTCAAAACATTCAATTGTTCATAATTTTCGATGGCAATGTTTCTTTTAGCTATGAAATAAGCATTTCGGATTAACACAATCATTGTACTATCTGCCCGGTTTGAAACAGTTTCTATAGATTTGGGAATAAAACTCTTTGTTCTGTCATCGTCTTTCTTTGCTGTGCAGGTATGATCTTCGGATTTAATATGGTCTTTTATTGCCGATAATTTGAAATTAACAGAGCCACTTACAAATTTATTTTTATGGTTGTGTTTCTGGCAGATCTGAAATTGTTACAATAATATAGTATAAGATACGTGAAAATAATAGGCTATTACTTGACGTGAACATAATAATTATATACTGGTCAGTAGGTTATTACCAGATTTACTTTACGCTAACATAATAATAATATACGGGTCAGTAGTTTATTACGTTACTTAAAAAAAAGAAGACTAATAATTAATAACTTACGAGACAAAACATTTTCTGTGAATTTTTGTCCAATAAAAGCCATTTAAAAGTAGTTAACCATTCGGATTTAAAATACCTTCCGGACTTCGACTTTGGTTGACCTATATTGGACGTGGGTAGAACTGCAGCTTTTGGAACTTCCAATGACGATGTGCATGCTTGAAGTTCAAGGTCAACGCCGCCATCACTATCTTCAGTTAAATCTCGTTTACGTTTTCTATTGTCATTCTGCGAGGTGTTCAAGTACTTCAACATTGTGTTTGAATGAACCGACATTGGATTATACACATTCTTTTACTTGGCATGATTAACTCAACTAAATTGTTTATTTAGGAAATAAGCCAATAAGGATTGAAGCTGAAGGTATTCATATTGTATTGACTGGCTCTTTGATGGGTTTCTTAATCGACGAGTAATAATTAACTCTTTGTTATCGGCCGAAAGTAGATTGATTAATGGTGGCCGGATAATTAATTCTTTGTAAATCGGCCGAAAGTAGATTGATTTGTGATATCTTATTGGCCGGTTCATTGTTTTACCAATCGGCTAGATTAAAGATCAATCAGCTAAAGCCGACAAAAAACAGCCGATTAAGATCCCTGCTCTAGAGGCTAAAGTTAATATCAGATTGACTTTAAATTTATACACAGCGTTTGCGGTCATGAGACGAAGAATCCTATTAATCAGATTTTAGTGTATCATAGATGTTTCATTACTGACAATAGAAAAAATATGCGATAACTCATGTTGACTGCTCGGACGACTTAGCTGCTGTGGGCGTATGTTTCGTTTCCTGGCAACCTATCTTTGTTTAACTTAAAGCATGTATTAGTGTTGAAACTTGTATCTGAATATCTGTTCACGGATATAATCTTGCGGATATTCTGATGTTTTTTATTTTTTCATAACGGTTTGTGTTATTTTGAAACACCCCCTCTCGTCGTTGCTTTCTTTTATAGGGTTAAATGAGCAATAATTTTCTGCAAATAAGGCTTGAAACTTACCGACAGATCTGAATCTTTTAGTCTTTCTACCCCATACAACTGCTTTATTACTTTTAAATAGTCATAAGCAACACAGTTCAAATATTAGATGAATGCCATGGCCCATGCATATTCCTGAAGCAATGGCCCGAGAAATCCCTCTCTGGCCATTGCTGGATTAACTTCTAATACTTGCGCTTTTGAGGGGGTGTGTCTATTCTTCCCGTTCAATCAAATCTATCCCCAAGCACAGCAACATGACAGCCCTTCTTTTAATCCAGTGCCTTTCTGAAAATTTTGGACAGTGATTTAAGGTATTAAAAACGGTGAAAGTGTTGTTCGACTCAAAACAGTATTGTTTACGTTAGCGTGCTGATAGCCTTGTTTGTCACACAATTAGTTTTTCTGCAATATTCTGCTATGCACTGGTTAATTCGGCATAATAAAATCGTGAGTCATGACGTAACGTTATGTAAACATATTTGGTCCAATTTGGAGCTCTGTTTGGTATTGTTACGCAGTTAGTTATTGGTTGTTAATCAGACTATTGACCAGTCATTTAGAACAAGACTTTGCCTTCTTTACAGCAGTGAGTAGTGGGATTAGCTCTAATCAAACGAAACACTGCGAGGAGTATGTGGCCCATGGCGAGCTCCTAGTCGTGCACTTTGCCGATAATTAGAGCTGTAGCTATTCAGTGCGTTCATGCAAAGTCACACGGTATACACATTGTCTCTGTTTATTTCCTCTGCTAAATTTAGATAGCCATGACTGGCCAAATTTTATGTTAGTATTCCAGCCACCTTGGTACCATCAGAGCGTGTGTTTTTCCCAGCGGGAAATATAGTTACCACTAAAAGATCAAATCTGGATCCCGACAAGGTCGACCATCTAATATTCTTATGTAAGATTTTAGAAGATAAAAAGCTGTAGCTAGTTTTAGACAGTAATAAATTAAAACGTGTTGTTTGAACAGTTCATGTGTGTTTCCTTCATATGGTGCCATTTATTACGGTTTGTTATATAACACTTTTTGTGGTAAAGTTTTTCTCTCGACAGTTTGATTATTTTGAGCCGACCCCTGTCTTTCCAATGTCGGCAGTCTGAGTCGGTCACGGGTTGTTTCTAACGAAATATAAAAGGATTGATCATTTCAAATAAATTGGTTCAGATAAAGTTTTAGAAAACCTATGAAATGATTTTTCTTGTTATTTAGACAATGTTTTAAAATAAAACTGTTCAGGGTATAAAATTTGGATGAAAGCCTTCTCCCGCTCCGCATGGGTCATATTTATTCTTCAAAACGATGGCGTGATGGTTTGATACGTCCTGCATTAGCATTAAGCTTCTTAGTGACAATGACAATATAGGCTATTAAAAAGATTAGCATTGCCAAAAGGATGTCTAATAATTCAAATCATTTATTTTAATAATTATCTTATGGTTTATTAGCCTTTATTCGTACAATAGACAAATTTGCATGCGCTTAAAACGTCAAAACTAAGTTTTAAATTACACACGAATAGTCTGAATACGTTCGGATAGTGCAGACGGATAGCCGAATATCAAAATATGCCCAGAGTTTCAACACTAATGTATATATGACCCCATTCCCAATTAATTAGTCAGTATTGTGAATTATTATGGTTTTATTTTTAAATGTATTTATTATTTTGTTTTATTTGTAATGCAGCTGAACTTGAAGCCGAGTTAGAAGAAGGTAAAGTGCATGATTGTTAATATTTTGGGTTACTGTAGTGGTGCTAATATTTGGTTTTTGCTTTGTATAATTTGTAGTATAATCCTTTTTTAAATGCTAATTTCTATATCTCAGATGATAGAAATAGCAATTGTTTCACTAATGAAATTTAGGTTCTTGATTTCGGGGTAAAATGATGACATTACAAATGTTGGGGGTTTTTTTTATGGTGAAAGTGTATTAAAAGCTTTGTTTTGCAGCTTTTGGAAGGCCAATGCTATTTACATTTCTAATTTTTTTTATTTTAATGGTTAAAAATCATTCAAACACAAATTTAAAATACCAAAATTTACAGAGGAAAATCAACTGCTTTCATTCATTTTAATGGTTAAAAATCATTCAAACACAAATTTAAAATACCAAAATTTACAGAGGAAAATCAACTGCTTTCATTCATTTTACTAGCCTCGATTTTTATAAAATAAATTTATTGACTGGGTCAGTGATGTATGGTGGCCCATGGTCGCAATAGCGTTTTTTGGGTTATTTTTGGTATTTCATTTAAAATAATAAAAATATTATTACAAAAAAAAAAGAAACATTTTTTTTTTTACAAAATAAAAAAAAATAATCTTTAAAAATTTAAAAAAAAAAAATCTTTTTAAAAATTAAAAAAAAAAAACTTTTTAAAAATTTAAAAAAAAAAATCTTTTTAAAATTTAAAAAAAAAAAATCTATAAATATATATATATAAAAAAATAATAAAATATATTTTAAAAAAAATAAAAAAGAAATAATATTTAAAAAGAAATTAAATGAAAAAAAAAAAAAATTGAAAAAGAAAAGATAAAAAATAATTCCCGACGTGGCCCATCGTCGCAATAGTGTCTTGAGTATCCAGACCCAGTATACAGCTATCATTAGACTAGAGCGACCAGAAACATTTTGTGGCCCATTGTTGCAGTAGTATCTCGATTATCATGTGTGGGATCTATGAAGAACGTATAGACCCGAACGACAAGAAACGAGTCTGTAGTTATCTCACGTCAACATAATTGTAGATACTTCAATTTTGATTGGCTAAGCACTACAATAAATCTAATATTATCTATTATCCAATCAGTTACTAAAATTTGAATTTTATTTTAGTAAAACAGGCCCCAGACGAAGTCCACGTAGGCTATCATGCTCTATTTTGTCTTTGAAATTGATGTTGTGCGCCATCGCACTTTCGCACCTCTCACCCGTTCCTGTGGTCGTAGCGGGGGACTAGCGATGACCTCAGGGATAGCAGGGGTTTCACAAAAACTGAAGCTAAAATCACTAACATAGATTTTAAAATCAAAGTGAAATTTTAAATTTATGCGTTTCACGAAGATCGATTGTAACTTAAAATTTAATTTTAATAGATTTTAGTTAAATTTACTTGTGCCTTGATGTGAGGTAACTATAGACTAGTTTCTTGTCGCTCGAGTCTATACCATACGTTCTTCATAGATCCCACACAGGATAATCTGAACGACAGACCCACGATGTTTGACAGGTCACCCTACTCCTTGTCACGTACAACCGGGGATTCGAAATCACGCCAGTTGACTCAATGACGGGCTTTATGATATGACAGGCTTTATGATACAGCGCACACGTGCTAACCATTCGCGCCCCCCCCCCCCCCCCCCCCCGGCTACTTAGTAGTAGTAGGCCTATACTTCGAGGATTAGTTTCAAAGTTGTTAACTACGTTTGAAATTCAACCTCAGGGAGACCAAGTGTTTTAAAAACATTACATAAGCCTTTTGAGGGGAGAATAGGCCTTGCGCACTAGTAGGCCGAATGGTGTCATTAAAGTCAATGACTTCAAACGTCATTATGTATGTAGGCCTAGTTCTAGTTAGACTGGATAAACTAGTCTAAATGACGCTAGGCTTCTATAGTCTATTAATTATACATTTCTATTGACTTGCATATGTATAAATACATATATCCAAGTCCATAGACGTCATGGGTGGAAAAATTGTGTTTCACGTGTTGATGTCTGTTTACCTTTTTCCTTTCGGAAGGGGAGATAACTACAAAGTCGGTTCTTGTCGCTCGAGTTATGCCACATAGGATAATCGAGACACTATAGCAACAACCGGCCACGAGGTATTTCTGGTCACTCGAGTCTAATGATAGCTGTCGTAGGCTGATTTTATACTGAGTCTGGATAATCAAGACACTATTACGACGATGGGCCACATGCAGAATTCTTTTTTTGATTTTTTCTATTTCACTTATTTTTTTTTTTTAATTAAAATGTTATTTTTTTATAGATTTTTTTAATCTTAAATATTTTATTAATTTTTTTTATATAGATTTTTTTTTATTTTAAAAAGATTTTTTTTTCCCTAAAGTTTAAAAAGATTTTTTTTTTCTTTTTAATTTAAAAAGATTTTTTTTTCTTTTTAATTTAAAAAGATTTTTTTTTTCTTAAATTTTAAAAAGATTTTTTTTTTCTTAAATTTTAAAAAGATTTTTTTTTATTTTGTAAAACAAAAGAAAAAAAAATGTTTCTTTTTTTTTACTTTTATTTTTTATGATTTTAAATGAAATACAAAAAATAACCCCAAAAACGCTATTGCGACCATGGGCCACCATAGTGATGTGTTTACAAAAACAAAATGAACCTGAGTTATTGCCATTTAGGATCTGTATACAAAAATAATAAATTGGGTGCTATACAGTTATACTAGCTAAGTATGGTAAGAATTGAAGTCAACATGTTAAAGAGTTAAGAAGTAACTATTAAAGGTTGATTATTTGAAACTTGAATTAAATTTAAATTTTGAAATTTCATTGTAAAGAGTAATATTCTATATGGATTTAAATATAATAGAGTTATATAAAAGCTGTTATTATAAGGTGACTAAAATACATGCATGTTAGTGTAGGGTAAATATTTATAATACGGTAGATATTCAAACATTATATATTACTTACTGGACTATGAAATACTCCAGAAATATTCTTAGACTTATATCTATACAAAAATTTAAAGTCATATACTACATATTCAAATAGATTTGTCTTAAAGGGACAATAACACTCTTGCTGGCTTGACAGCTCCGGAAAATAAAAAATAGCCTTATTCTAAGTACTAGATGTGTTAGTGTCTTACCTGTTGTGTAAATTATCCATTAAATCCTATTTTACTTGTCCAGAGGGTCAAAAATATTTTAAAATCCAAGTTACATTTGAAAAGCTTTACGTCAGGCTTTTCAAATCATTTAGTTGAATTTTTCCAATTTTTTAAATTAGGTGTGTTAAGATGAAATTTTTATCATCAATTAATTGGAATATTGTAAAATAGTGCAATTTGTTTACCAGAATAAAGATTGGGACATATTATTATTCAGTTACAACAAGAGTGGTATTGAGCCTTTAACATCTAACACTGCATTATTTTTTATGAAATCTTATCTGAAAGATTCTAAAATTATGGATTTTACTGCTTGTTTTTTTTTCTAAATGAATACTGTTTTCTAAATTACTCTGTAGTTAAAATGTTTCATGCTCTTTAAATTGATTGATACATAGAGTTGGTGATTGATACATAAAGTTGGTGATTGATACATAAAGTTCATAATATTTACATGCCTGCAGGGATATTTAACTTTAAAAAAGGTTTAAGTATATGACCTAAATGTTTTACAATATGTAAAATTTCCCTAACAGACTGGTTGAAGAAAGGTTCAATCATATTGATAACTGCACATAAAAACTACACTTACTGTACATTTACCACATATATTGAGGCCTCAGTAAATTCTTAATTATTGTCCCCCGCCTTTCGAAGAAAGCAGGAGACTATTAAAATGGGTTCGTCCATCTGTCTGTCACACTTTTTGGGACACAATAACTCTCTTTCTAATTGAGCTAGAATGTTCAAACTTGGTGTAGGTGTTTATAAGGTCAATGCCTTGATGGAGTTCGAAGATGAGAATTTTTGCTTAGGGTAAGCAGAGATAAGCAATTTAATTGGTTGATGCTTTGGGACACGATAACTTTAGTTCTAATTAAGTGAGAGTGACGAAACTTGGTGTATAGTTTCATTACATCAATACCTTGACTAAGTATGATAATGAGCATTTTTTTGCTCGGGGTATGCAGAGCGATAAGCAATGTGATTGGCCGAGACTTTGGAACAAAATAATTCTCCTTCTAATTGAGCTAGAATGTTCAAACTTGGTGTAGGTGTTTATTAGGTCAATGCCTTGATGGCATTTGAACATGAGCATTTTCTGCTTAGGGTAAGCAGAGATAAGTAATTTGATTGGTTGAGAATGATGAAACTTGGTGTATAGTTTCATTACATCAATACCTTGACTAAGTTTGATAATGAACTTTTTTTACTCAGGCGAAGCGGAGCGATAAGCAATTTGATTGACCGAGACTTTGGAACACAATAACTCTCCTTCTAATTGAACTAGAATGTTCAAACTTGGTGTGGGTGTTTATTAGGTCAATGCCTTGATGGATTTCGAAGATGAGCATTTTCTGCTTAGGGTAAGCAGAGATAAGCAATTTGATTGCTTGATGCTTTGGGACATGATAACTTTAGTTCTAATTAAGTGAGATTGATGAAACTTGGTGTATAGTTTCATTACATCAATACCTTGACTAAGTTCAATCATGAGCATTATCTGCTAAGGCTAAGCAGAGCGATAAGCAATTTGATTGGTCGAGACATTGGAACACAATAACTCACATTCTAATTGTTGTAGGTGTAGGTAGGGCTGTACGATATTCTCGATATAATCATTTATCGCGATATGGTATTTTCAGACCCAACTACGATATCATGTGGCCAAAAATGGTCGATATAGTGGTTTATCGAATATCGCCAAAAACTTCAAATATCGAAAAAAATTATCATAAAAATAGATAATAAATACATTTACCACACATATTGAGGCCTAAGTAAATTCTTAATTATTGTACCCCGCCTTTCGAAGAAAGCAGAGGACTATTAAAATGGGTTCG